GTTAAGGACATAGTTAAAGAAGAAAATCGATCGCTCGAAAGCTTCTATAACCGATTTTATGCTGCTTGTCGTATTTTGACGCTGATAGTTGTAATTAAAAGTAAAAATTGTGGTAGTTTACTTGTGGACCCTGCGTACTCGGCCTTTATGAGAAAATATCCGAATCCTTGTTTTCGCTACGTCAATTCTATAACTGTTTAAGGTAAACTCGTTAGGAGCCTTGCTGAATTTGATATCATAACTCGTCAAACCGCTATAAGCTTAGTGACAATCGTGGAAGCCTAGCTAGATATTAAGTTTTTTCCTTGTTTTAACTTCAAAGTAACGCATTCGAAAGCTCTTTTTTATGATCTACGATCACTAAAAAATACTTTTTGTTTTTACTTTAAATAATCTTGTTTACAAATTTCACAGCTTTAGAGGTCTACACAGTTGTAAAAGTGCAGCTAGGTTTTATCAGGTCATTCCACCTGCATTTTCATGAAACTAGTAGAGAAACGTATTGACCACCTATCGACAATGGTATTGAACTCGCCCTCTGAGATGATTCCTTCTCTCCCCTAATCATATTTGAAATGCCCAGCTGTCGCTGAGTCGCCGTAATATCCGTTTCATCGAAGAGTTCTACTTAATATTGTACATCTAGACTTAGCTGACCATTCTTCCCGGTTTGCCCGGGACAACGTCCGATGTGTTTTACGTGAGTACCTGCTGTCGACGGCCTTACCTCACGGTGCTCAAAAGCACAACGTATAAAATCAATGCGTTGATGAGCGCCTCAAATAATACGAGCTATTTGCTAGTATTTATTTGGTTACCAGTGGCCAGTGTGTAGGGGCACACTGACCATCTTGGAAGGATTCGAGCCCGACCTAAAACCTCTTCCGTTTTCGGTTACGGAACCCAGTTGCTTGTGCAACTTCTTTTTTGAACTGAAAATTCAGTTCTTCCTGCATTTAGGTTTAAACCACGGCCACCACGAATTTCTCCAAAGAGCCAAACCCAATGAGCAGATTGGACTGAAATCCAAGTATTTTCTGCTGCCCGTGGTATCAGGTTAAAGTCTCCGGTAAGACCTTGTAGCCATAGCTACTGCCAGTTGAACTACCCATTACTCAATGACTGGTGACATTTGTCGCTTGAACTTCAAGTGTCTTTTTATTTGGAATCTCATTTAAAGTCTATAATATCAGTTCAAGCTGAGTATTATAGCACTAGTTTTGATATAACTACTGAACTGAAAAATATGGTCACCAAAATCTAGACTCTTCATTACATCAAAACGAAAATATCCATAACCAACAACAACAATGCGCCTTGAAATGGTCCGATATCGTCTACTCTCAGCCAACGAACACATTTCTGGAGCAGGTGTAACGGTAGTGCTAAATAACATAATAAACTCCAGACCGTTAATATTGTTTGACTAGCCAAATGCATTTTTGTTGTTGTCTGTTTGTGTTTTACACACAATCACATTCGTTTCTTGTAGGGGAGCGTGATGGTTGAAAATTCGGTTCCCACCATTTGCGAATGCATTAAATCCTGCATACAACACTTAGGACCTTTTTTAAAAATATCAATACATACTTGTACATACATACAGCTGTACATATAATGGCACCAAATCGAATGTCACTGTGACACCTGCAATCGCATAAGCGTCACACAGTAGCCGAACCGAGTGACAAGAGTATAAAAGCAAGAAGCAAAACAAAAATACATGTATATACACTAGTAGGTTTGTGTATGCGTTGATAAGCGCTCATTTGTATGTTTACCCTCGTACAGCATCCTAGAAAGGTCAAATCGCAGCGCAGCAATGTCAGGTGGCAAGTGTTGCTAAGAAATCGTAGCGTGGGAAATCCAAGACACAGCACTCAACTGAAACTGAAATCGACATTCGTATTTGTTATTGTTATTATTATTATTGAGTGCTGTTATCGCAGCGTACATTCCCCTACAATGTTGCACATTCACCATGCCGCTTAACTTAGGGGCGCAAAATTTTCTTCGGCACAGACACGTAGCGCTTCTAGGCGCGGACGGTGCGGCGGGCGAATTAAGCAATATCGGCGCAATAAATAATTCCACTTAACCACTAGTATGGCTACACATTTTTGGGCACTCGAAGTGCAGTAACGCAACGGTATTCATGCACTCCTCCGCTGGTAACGCCATCAGGACCCCATAAAAATGTGAGTATGTGTATGTGCGCAGTGCGTAAACGAAAACCTGATTTGACAACAAAATCAATTTCATCATCTTTATTATGCCATGCACACGTACAAGTGCGCTCAAATACGCTTTTATAGCCATACTTGCATTGAAGTGCGTTGCGCATGCGCAAACCGTGCCTTACGTTACTTCAGTGTTGGCATGTATGTCTGTGTGTGCATGCCGTTGCAGCCGGCTGCCATCAACTGTCAGCTGTGCGCGTAAATCCTTGCGTGGGAACCTGCCGAAAATCCTTCTTCCCACGGCCAAGCCAGAAACAACAAACAACCTGCTACGCGCACTAAAGTAACCACTGCGTGATTGCTTTCTTTGTTTCCGTTGTGTGCGCGCAGACGCAGCGTTTTTTGTTTGTATCACAGCTCGGCCGGTATATTTGTTTGTATATTTCTGCCGCAGCACCCCAAAACAGCGGTAGCTCTTACAGCTACAACGCAATAATCTCGAGTGTTTATGCAGTTTAAGCCCACAAAACACGTGCAGTTCGTTGTGAGAGAAGCCGTGGCAGAGGAAGAACAAGTTGAAGAAATCAGTATGCGCAGCTGTGTTCACAAGTGGCCATCATTATCACTCTCATTGTACGACTAACTGCGTTTCAACGGCCCGTTCGTCCGTCTGTCTATCCGTGCATTCGCCTCTACGCAGCGCGCATTCGCAATCAGAACAGACCAAAATGTAACAACAATAAACACACGAAAATGCGCTCGAATCATAGTTATATTAAATGTGGCAGCACGTTTGCCGAAAAAACAACACACATTTTTACTCACTGCATCCGTTTGGCGGACACACGGTTGCTTGGTTCCCAAGGAATTCTCACAAAAACTCACTTCCTTTTTCTTTCGGCCATGCTCCTGCATAACAAAACAAAAAACATATAAAAAATTGTGTATTGGTTGTTTCTTTAGCTTTTTTGGTTTTAAAATGCTCGCTCATTCGCTTGAAAGCGCTCGGCGTCGTGTCGCTTCCAAAAAAATTCAACAAGTAATTAGCAATAAAGTGTCGACGAGGCCAAGTGAAGGCGAGTGGAGATGGAGTGAGCGTATAAGCTAAGACAAGCTATGCAGATATGTTCACTAGCTAAGTTAAACACTTACGACCATTTTTTAATTTTCGGAATTTCGGGGTGTTGCAATATCACAATCGGGATCCCGATATATTAAAACACACATATTTTATTAAATTTCAGTATTTTAAAGATTTTTTAATTTTACAATATCTACTTCGGGATCCCGAAAGCAGACTGAAATTTCTTTCAATATTATTATGTAAAAGACGGGTATAATGGGACAATTTTTATATTATTTTAGACCAGTCAATATTCCTTCAAGGAACTATGTATATTTTTTACATAATGATTTCATATTTCGAAACAGTATCCCAAATATGTTTGGGTTTTGTTTTTTATTAAAAATAGTTTAACTTGGAACCGAAAAGGCATACAATTTCTTAAAATCTAAATTAATTTTATTCAAAATTTTTTTTTTCAAACTCATTGATTCCACTAAAACAATATTGCTCGAATCCCGTGCTTTCGGGATGCTGACGCTAAATGGCTTCATCCGCGCGGAACAAAGCAGAGCGATACTTTTGCTTAGGCACCCACCTGTTGTAGCTACTCAGCCATCAACTCACTATTTACAGGGTCAACAGACGGCTTGCCAATGTAAAAATACAGGATATTTCATACAGATGAGTCAACTGACTGCAAGTGTTTGCTACACACCCTGTGAAGTGTGCGCTACAGTCGGTAACAATAGCGTGACAGATAGTTCTTTCTGCGGTGACGGCAGCGAAAGCGTGCAACACGTTTTCCTTTCCTGCCCGAAATACGAAGTAGAGAAAAGAGACATAGAGACTCTTATAAAAGAACGTTTGACTCCAGAAAATATTGTGCTTGAATCGAAAGGCAACGAAGTGGCGAAAACAGAAGAAGCAGTACATAAACCAGAACTGCAGTCACAATTAAGAGTTTAGTACGTTGGTGTATTGTTACGCAAGTCCAGCATAATATGATAATCCTTTCTGGACGTGGTCCCGAAAGAGTTGTACCAATAGTGTACAGTATGAATCGTGTATGCCGTTTAGGACTGACGGTGTCTATGAAAGATACCCCCCTCGAAAAAAGTCCGCCGAATGACTGCCTGGGCATTATATAGCATATCCAACACAAGTGATTTGAAACAAATGAAGTTTCGCAGAGAGGATAATAAGTATTTTTAAGTTGAGTTGAGGATAACATATTTAGGTTTCTCGCATTTTTTCAAAAAATCACAGAAAATAATTATTTCGCAATGTAAAGACCAGACCTTGGCCACGTGGAACCTTTCTCTCCATAATTTTTATTTTTGGTATTGCTAAACTTAAGAACTCTTCGGCCGCTATTATGGTGTATATTAAGGTCGGCTCTTTCAAGCGCATTATATGTATAATATATAGCCCTTTCTAAATGCTTTCTAGCGTAGTCATTGTTGAGAGTATCTTGTATGTTATTTCTAGCTCAGTCCTTAGTATATTGCATAGTCATAGGTTCAAATCAAAAGTGGATTATATGCAGTTCTTCCAGGCTCCACAAATTCTAGTCCATGATTAATTATGATACTAATAGATAAGATTAACAATGTAGGGTTCATTAAAGTCGCCACGACTGACGACAAACACCTCAGTTTATTTGCCACACGATATCATGCTACATCCTGTTAAAACGAGAGAAATTTATTATCAAGAAAAAAACACAAATGTAATTAAAAAACATTTACCCAAAAAATTGTTTCCCACACTTTTTCCCTACCATTTAGGGGCGCTCGCATACAGCCGCACTTGAGCGCATCAGCTCTCAAATTTAGTCAGCGCAGATTTTTGGTTAATTTTTGAGCAAGCCAACAACTGTTGCTGTTGTAGTTGTTGCCGATGTTGCATGCTACCTGCGCTGCATACTCAGCTGAGTTAGTGCTTATGACTCTCGGCTTTGCTATGTCATCACAATGTCGACAGTGCGTTGACTTGTGTTGCCCTTTTGGGTCAGACACACGAGCAACCAGTGGTAGTGGTAGAGAGCGAAGAGAAAGAGCGGTAAGGGCAACATGGGAAATATACAATGTATGATTCCTGTTGGAATTTGTCTGTACGCCAACCAGAATTGGGAAGTGCAGTTGAGCGGCGCTCAGCTGAGTGCAGAATTACTGGAGACGCGTCGCCGTCCGAGTTTGTTGTCGTCGTCTCGTATTTCTACCTTCCTTCAGCTGCGTTGGTTCACACGATCGATCGATGAATGGTTTGGCTAGTTTGTTGGTAGGTTTGCTTGTTTGGTCGGCCTGGTTGACTGCGGATGGTTGGTTGATGTATAAAAACGTACGGATGCAAGCGCAACAGCATCAGTTCTTCAACAACTTTCACAGCGAAAACACGCGCAGCGAGCAAAACGAAATTAATAGAATAATATTTTTTAAAGGAACATGTACATAAACACTTACTGAAGAACATTTTTGATAAGACGACTTTTGAGTTTATTAAGTTTATTGTTCGGAAATAAATATTTTATAATCAAAAATAATCACAAACCAACTAAAAAGAATGTATACGGATACAAAAAATCTCGCACATCAATTGGCCGACATGAGCCTCACCTCGGCGAATACAACTTTAACACCCGCCGCCCCAACAGAGAAATCCAAGCGCAAGCTTTGCAAAATGTGGCGCCCACTACTGCGGCTGATGGCACGCAAGCGTAACAGCAGTCACAGCACAGCTAACGGCAATTCGCATGCCAGCCTACACCCGAACAACGTACACCTCAACAATACAATCCCAACAAAAGCACACGCCACCAGTGGTAGCGAAGAGTGGCCCACAGCGCATATTGAGGACTATGCTAGCCTCATGCGAAAAATGAGTTTAAAAGAGCAGTGCAATCATGGCGCAGGAGAGTTGGCCAGCACAAGCGCTGTACCCGAATGGGAGCGCCCCTGTCAGGCAAGTGCTAAATTCGCAACGACAGTTATCAGCAGTGCAAGTATTGAGAAGACACCGGCCAGCACGTGCGCGCACTGTGTCTATGGGCGCAATTGTCAGCATGAGCAGTTTCATCATCATATCTGTGATGCGGCCACACAAGCCACAAGCACAACTACAACAACAGCAGCAACGAGCACAGCAGGCGCACCACACTGGCCTACAATGATGGACAGTACGGTGGCGTTGTCTCAACACGCGCTTGCTGACCTGCCCATACAGTACATGCACACCAATGATGGCACCTTCTTCTGGACGAATGCACAGGAGAAAATCGATGATGACCTACTCACAGCGTGGTTGTGTCAGAGTTGGCGTCAGCTGCCTTTACAGGCGGCACTGCTGTGAATGTGCTTTCGCAGTGCTTTCACAACACACTGTGTTTGTGTCTGAGCATTGAAAGACAGGGACTTTCATTACTTTCATCAGGGATCTCATTGTTATTTTAGTTTAATTTATACAAATATACACATATATTTTAGTATAATTAAATACTTAGTATGTAATGCAGGAATAAGTACGTGAAGTACGTTTCATAACTACATTTGTTTGCAATATAAATATTTGTGATATGCTTAACTTAATTAATACATTTAAATGTTAAAGTAGTTTTCGTAAAAAAAAACGAAAAAAACCATATACCCTAAAATATGTATGTACAACAATAAAAACCAGTGGAAAAATATTAATCGAAATAACTGTCTGAAAGTTTGTTTGAAATGTCTAGAAAGTGAGTAGAGATGTTAATGAGAAAGTATCAATTTGAAAGCTTAACTTTCCAGTAGAAATTGAGCTTTCTGAATAAAGCTTTGAAGAGTGAAAGCTCACCTAGTATCGAATATATTTTTTAATAATCACGTCATTTATCCGGTATTGGTATATTTACAGCATTTATCGCAACTAGTTTCTTCGATATACTTCAAGCTTACTTCACAAAAGTTGTTAAAAATAAAAGTAAAAAAAAAACAAGAACACACGTTCACTTCGACCGGAAGTTGTAATACCCTTCACAGGTGCATAAAAGAATCTTATCTTAATCAAAATCAGATCAGATTATTACAGTTATATGCTAAAATTTCTTCGAATATGATATAATAATTGAAAAAAATCTGTATCAAATTTCGTGAATCCATATATAGACTTTTTTTTCTGCGGATGACGGTAAAGTCAAAGTCGGTAAATACGGTGTCTTTAAGAAATTACGATAGGATGATTATAGGGGGAGGGGGGTCTAAAATCTGAAAAAATCGATGACGTAATTTATGGACGGCCCCTTACTGCTTGTTGTCCGGATCGATGAAGACTCTTTGGCTCTGTAGATATATAAAGCGGTGCAAATAGTAAAGGGAGCTTTCATCTCCTATAGAGTGGTTGAGTGGGGATGGATTTAGCTTCACTTGGTTTCTCGTTGCTCATAGGGAGCAAGTGCTCCAAAAATCCAATATCTCCCTTTTGATCCAATAAAATGCACAAAAAAGAAAGGGTAAAAAAGGATTGGCAAAATCCATGAACTCAATTGCTTAACAGAAGTACAACTACAGGTATATAACTTAGTATTGGGTTGGTTTCAATGGCCTGGTCTATTGTGACAAGTATTTCCGAATGGAGAATCTTCCTTGCATTCAAACAAACAAATGAGCAGGGTATAAAAGATCGATCAGTTAAGTCCTCATGCCTTATAATATCAATATATTGTTTATCATTTCATCTCCGCAATGAAATATCTTTTAATATCCATAAAAAGCCAATCGCCCAGATCACTCTGTAGTTAGATTAAATCTAGAGTATCAGAGGAATAACAACGGGTGTCTCCTTTAAAAACTGTTACTAGAAAACACAACAGTGCGGTTGGACAAGTTCGGTGGTGCTATAAATTCCAGGTACCTTATGTGATTATATGTATATAATACTAAGGCATATAAGTTTCCCGTATCGATTTAGATCTCACGGCTATTGAAGAAAGCTCATTACCTTTTTGAACTCAACGCGGTCATTTATTTACAACTGGAAGGGTTTGGAGCTTTCATGTGGATCTAGCATATAGTCAATACACTTTCTTAGGTACAGAGGTTTTCCTCCAACTGTTAGCGGTCCTATTCTTCGAAAGAAGAGATCTATCTATAAATATGTCTCTAATGCGAAATCTTATTTTAATTTCACGGGAAGAACTTTCTAAGTCAGTAAAATTTCTGCATAAAAAATATTACTTTCAAGGTTTACGGGTTGAATTCAATTATTGAGAAATATGGACTGTTCTATATGGTGTTGCTAAAATACATGTTTTAGACCCCATAGATTTTAATCATATGCGATTTGAAGAAATTCTGTAATTAGACCCATAGGTTAATATATATGTGTATATTGTATGTATATATCTATATTTAATAATTTACTACCCATCCAATTTTTTGAAGTGGGTTTTTCTACAGGTACAAGCCCATGTTTAAAAAACATGACTAAATTACAAAGATAACTCAACCAGGCCAGATCTATTTGTACCCCTTATGTGAGAGCTCTCAGCAGACATGGATATACATTTCCGTTAGAAATCAAATAATTAAATAGCAATTAATTTCGGCTGGTCCTTAATGAGGACCCCTTTATAAATCTGGCGACTATCATACTCATTGCTTTTCATAACAAGTAAGCGTACTTGTTGCTGCTTTGCATATGAATGTGTGTAGTTAACACAACAAAAAAAAAGATGATGATAATAATCAACACAACAACCACTTGTATATAAACAATAACAAAAACCACAATACCAACAGAAAAGAACACCTTAAATAGCCCATGTAATAATAATAGTGACAACAACTTTGGCATTGCTTAAGGCACGTTCTCATTTTCCCACACTTTTCGAGTAGCTGAGTTGAACGAGCAGACGAGTAAGGGGCCGCTCGAGCACGAATTGAATACGAGAGTACTGGCTATGAAAATGTGAATGTGAGAACATTCTTGACTGCAATGATTAGCACTATGCTGCTATGTTGTTGGAATGTTGCTATTGTTGTTGTTGTTGCTGGATGAGCATGCAAGTATGTGCGAAATGATTGCTCTGTGTATGTTTGGATGTGTGCGGGTATTTAGGTATTTATGTTTACTCGTAGGCACAAAAATGTCCGTTGTAGTTGTTGGTGTTGTGGCTATAGAGTTTTTTAAAGCTTTTTTTTATTCTTTTGTTTTGGCGAGTGGACACTCCCTGCTTGGCATGGCGAAGGGCGACTACTTTAATATGCTGGTCAAGATGCCACAACGGCAACATGCCGATCGTTGTTTTAACGGTTCTCGTTATCGTAATAACGTTATTAATGTCAGTGTGATTAACCTATGAATTTAGGTGGTTGGACATGGAATGGTTGGCTTGAGCGCGTGCAGTTAGCGGTAAAGCAGTTGCCGGTGGTCGCGTTTATTGTTTATAATTTAGGCAGCCGCGGGCTAACCACACACAAAACAACAACAATAACATATAATAATAAGTGCAAAAAATAACAAAAACAACTAAAACCTAGCCTGCGTTAGTGGCTACACAAATCAGCGCAAATTAGCATCGATTGTGGTTGTTGCTGCTGTTATTGCAATTATCGCTCAAGCGCTGAGTCAGCGAAATTTTTATTTGCATCATAGCGTTTCATATCAACTGGCATTTTTTAACCCGAAATGTCTTATTGTGTTGTGTTTTGCACTTGCGAAAACAATATTTTCGTATTTTTCGTCATTTTTTTGGGAATCTCTCGACATTTTAACTGGAATTGTTTGCTTAGTTGTGGCGCGGGGGAAACACTCACGAACTGGAAAACTTAGTCAAATATTCGAATTCTATATTAAAACAATTTGTAATGTCATTTCCTATTTACTAGCACTTATTAGAAATTAAGAAAAGCACTTAATTCGACGAAATACGGTGTACAATACCAAAACTTTTTGAAACCATTATCACAGGCCAAATAACTTTCTTCGATTTCTCCTAATTTCATGTTTTTAGCACGAATTTTGTAACGGGAAATTTACATTAGCAAATTTGCTGGAAAGTTTGAACCATGTATCAATGGCGTTAATGGCAAATAAGCACACTGATGCGTTAGATTATGCTTCTGGCTTTAATATAATATATCTTTCGGTAGAGCAAATCTCTCAATTCTCGTGCAAAAACTTGACTTACAGTAATTTTTAAAGACGATTTGTCAGATTCATTCTCTTTAGGTGACTCAAAAAGTTGTTTGGCCCGTTTCTGTTCTTGTTAATTAGAAAAGATATAAAAAATATACTCAAACATTTTATTATATGCCACAATGTAAAACTTTTGAAATCAATGTGATAAAAGTAATAGTCTACATAAATAATTTAGAGATAATTTTTTAACAAAAAATTCAAATCTATTCTGATAAGTAACAAACGAGCTCGACAGGGGTTTAGGTTAGGTCTTGCTTCATACAGTCGTTTAAGGGGCTACATGGGTTTCACGGTTTCTAAAAAAGTATTTTTTTATTGCCTTATTTAATTCTATAACATCTCTAGAATATTGTTCTAAATGCTTAAGTTGATCCGAGTAATAGTTTTGGACACCTTTTTTCTCGAAATTGTGCTTTCAAAGTCCGAACTTAATGAAATGTTACAATGGTCTTCGAGATATTATTTAAAAGGTCTTGAACGGAAGATCTTCAATGTTCAATTACAACTATTTAAAAAAACGTAGAGAAATTTTCACTACAATTTTCGTTTTATTTTGTAAAAACGTGTGTAAAAACGTGTACAACTTTCACTTTTTTTCCTTCGTCCAATAACTAGTTTATGGTCTTAATTAAAACATGTAATTTTGTCTTTTTTCTTCATATGATTCTGTAGCAGTTCTGTTGTCAACGCGAAAGCACCTTTTTTCCGAGGGCCTGCCGAAAATGACGTCGTAATGGCCGAAAATTTCACAATATGTATCTTTGGAATTACAAAAGGTTTGAATAAAATATGTAAATTTTCATATGAAAAAACAAATATTGAAAATAGGCCATTTTTGGCTCCAAAAAACCCTTGTAACCGCTTAAAACTTATAAATCTACCTACACTAACTATTCACAACGAAATGCAGGGCATAATGCTTTTATTACAATTTAGGTATGGATCAGTTTGTAGTACAGGCAAAGTATTTTTTAAAGTAAGGAAGAACGTTAATAAGTGTGCCCTAGTGTGACTGCCTAAAAACCAGTCGATTTTCGGAAATATATAAAAAGACTACTAAACTATTTTTTGAGCACACAGTAAACATTTTAAAGAAAAAATTAAGAATTTTTCGAGTTACACCTGGTCTTTGACGGCGCTAACAAAGGTTCTCCTCTGTTGCAGTGATTACGACCTTCTCCGTGGTTGAAACTGAAAACAAATACTCACGAGACGAGTGCGTACATAGACCTGCGGCCGAAAAAAAAATCAAGATGGCGGCATTAAAAAAAATTAATTTTACCCATAATTTTTGTCGTTTTTGGCCTGCCAAATTTCGATGGCGATCAGATCAAAAAACTATGAGGTAATTGCATGAAGAACTCTGTATATATAGAGATTGGATCTTTTGTCTCCAAATAATGACTTAAGCAAATATGAAAAATTTAGTTTTGAGAAAAACAAATTTAAAGATATACCGATGGTTTTGAACTGAGCGGCTATACTTTAGAAGACTGTAACTCAAAAACTATTTGAGATAACGGTTGAAAATTTTAACGTGTTACTTTCAATGATATATTTCATCGAAATATGAAAATATCGATTTTTTTTTTAAATTCACACTAGGTGTGCCCTTTGAAATTCAAAAATTATTAAATGTCAGTACGAATCACGTTTGCTGGTTTGCTGAAATCTCAGAGTATGGAATTTTTTTAAAATTATTTTATCATATTTGCCTTCACTCACGACCAAGTGTACATATACCATATGCGGAATTTTACCATAATACTGATTTTGTGTATTGAAGTAATCATAACGTTAATTTTTTATCCACCATCCTAATATGGATAATTATAATATACGTTGTACCTATTTTTAGTTAAAATTTTTTAAATTCATAACGACATACATATATACAAATATGTTTTCGTATGATTATAGTTCGTACACGCCTCTCTAAGCTTTGTAAAATTTTTAAGATGTAAACAAAATAACTCAGATTCTTATCACAATGCAGTACGTGTAAAATCAAATTACATATTTTTTATCAGTTGAAGACAAAATCAAGGGTACTACTTTGAATAAGAGCACACATCACATCACAGTGCGGCAATTTGCGCTACAAATTAAACTAAAATAAACACGGATCTCTTTTCAAGATGGATGAGGTAGTAATAAAAAGTTAGTTTTATTGGATATCAGTTCATATCTTTCCATAGTCCCCATGCAAGCAATATATAATATCCCATAACTGTGTACTAACGGAGACGCTATAAAATATGTGTATGGTATATATAACTAATCAGCATGACGAGTTGAGTCGCTTTAGTCATGGCCATCTGTCTGTCTGTATATGCGCGAACTAGTCTCTCAGGTTCTAAGATATCGATCTGAATTTTGCACACGTTCTTTTCTCGCCAATAAGCTGCTTATTTGTCGGAACCGCCGATATTGGACCACTATTACATATAGCTGGCATACAAACTGAACGATCGGAATTAAGTGCTTTTATGGAAAGCTTTTTCATTTGACGAGATATCTTCAAGAAATTGTTCAAATCCAATCACTATAAAATCTAGCTGTCATATAAACTGCATCGACAAAATCAAGTTTTTTAAGGAATCTTTTGTATTTGTGAAGAGTATTATAGCTTCGGTGCAAACGAATTCTTATTCTAATGAAGCAAATGCATTACAAATCGGTTAAAGGAAGAGATTGTGCTTCGCAGAAGCTGTATTGTAAGCAACTTCTTTGAAACCTCTACTTGACATAGGTACTTTATTCAAACGACTCAGGTAAAAAGACCGAGTCGAGCTTCAAACCTAAACCAAAATGTATTGAGTCTATCCATAAGAGCGTTAAGATCCTGATTTATCTGATGGCAACACGACCATTTTAAATCACTGTTTCTTTAACTTTTCCGCGGTTATTTTCATTACCAGCGGTGGATGAACGACTTATACGAGTCTAAAATTGACACGCTTCATACCAAAAACAATAACCAAAACATATTAAGTTGATCACTGTTTGTTTAACTTTTTGGTTGGTAGCGTCATTGACATTGTTTGGAATACTAGCATGAGGCAAATTTTCGATGACTTCACGATTTTCACTGAATGCTTTGTGTCACTCAAAGACTTGTGTTCGTGATAAGTAGACTCCGCCAAACACTTTTGCAATATGTTCAACGATTCCGTAGCCGCGATTCCATTCAACTTTTTCTATGGTAAAAATTGCCCGACAAAAATTTTTTTTATCGATTCAGTTTCCACGAGCAGCTTAAATAATACAATCCGTGTCAAATTCTGCAAGTAAGTCCTCTCTCATATTTACTCCAATTATCTACAACAACATCATCTCTCCCATCTGCCACACTAATCTACAATACCACCCCACTGTGCGATTGTGGTTTATTCAACGTTTGAAGTGCGTTTACTAGACATACCACAACGTGCGAGTATATCCTCAATACTATGTTGTCACTTCCACTTACAACAAAAACTGAAAACTTCTCTAAACGTAAAAATGTACTTTCTATGTAAAAACAATAATAACGCTAAAGTACCGTTGTTGACTAATAAAAATACTTATCATAAGCATTTGCTGATAAGCGATAAGAAAAAATAAACATATCTTTTGCGGCATGACTAAAAGTATGTATAAATACAAACCAGTCAGTAGGTCGCTAGTAAGAAACAATCAATCAGTGTTTATTAATACATTCGAAGTCAGAGAAACAAAGAAAATATTTTAAAATTTTTTCAAAACCAAAAAAGTTTCTAAATACAAAAACAAAAAATGCTGTATAAAAAATTCTACATAATATTTGCCACGCTGATGGCCGTCTGCCATGCCAATACAATAACAACACTTGCTGATGAAGCGCCATTAGAGACGGACCAGAACCAAGAGGACCAGCCATGCCCACTGATCTGTCCGCTTTTGTATGCGCCTACTTGTGGCTTTGACGGCGTAGACTATGAGCAATTCGTCAATCCATGTATGCTGGAAGTGGCCAACTGCGCGCGTAGGAAGGAGCGTGTTTCACTAAAACAAGGTGAGTAACCAACACAAAGTGATCGCGGCATCTCGTTAGTTATTGGAAATTAAACGAAATATTTCAAATAATTGTTACAGTCTTCGCACAGACCGACAATGATTGGTGCAGTACGAAATTGATAAATAGCCTCTATGAAATCATGGGTAATTTTGCTGACAATTTGAACAAAGTGGAATGCTTGAAACCCTGTCCGATGATTTACGATCCCGTGTGCATTTCGAATGGCGAATATCGTGTCACCATCGCCACCGCCTGCCAATTGGACACATACAATTGTGCGCTCAATAGCACTAAATGTGAGTAATATTTGATAAGGTTGTATGTTGTTTTTGTACCCCAGCTTAGCTTTAGAGAAATGGTTTAGTATGAGGCTCCTGAAATATCGCTTGTTTATAAAAATGCGAATACAGCGACACCGATGTATGACACTAGTACATTCGGTTGTGAAATTCATTTCACTCCACCCATTTAACAAAGCGACATTGCAAGATTGAGCGAAACGAACGATCGCTATGTTTACCGTGTCCGTTATGTTTTTGCCTAGTTCTGATGTTGCCAGACATTGAATATGTGGCTAGTAGCACCAGCGAAATTACAGGTGAGCACCTGAAATTGGTGCACATTAATTATTTTCAGTTATTTGGAACATTTTACATTTTAACTAGATCTCTTTCAATTAAACGAAATATTTTATCCACCAGCGAAGACTTTAACAAGCGGTTATCATTCAAGTTTCTAGTTTTTAGTTTTAATAAACCAAATTTGGTTTATTTAAAAAATGTATGTCCGCTTCACATTCTACATATCATATTTTTGAAATGCTAACTATTACTTAATTAACTTATATTTTTTTGCAGTGGGATCCCAACTCTTCAGAATATTGAGCAACAGGAAATGCGAACAGAACTAAATCCAACAAACAACCAGTCATCAATTGGCAATATTTCAGTTATAAATTAGTATAGAAATCGTAAAAAGATACTAAAATGTTCAATTTTATATAAAGCATTTTGGGTCTCTTAACAAACCTGTTCCAATAAATATGTGATTATGAATATACATATAATAGAATCTATAGCTATAATGTAGTAGTTATTTGGTTAGTAAAATAGGTATACGTGATCTTTTCACAGTGCAATAAATATTTTCTTCTTATCGATTAAACGGTAGTTCTTTAAATCACTCGATTTATGGCTCTGCCATTTTACGAAACACTGATTACTATGATAAGTTAAAAATAAGTAAGATTTGTATAAACACGTAACCTCGTTCACCTAATTTTTGTATATATTAGCAAAAAATTTATGTTCAGGTCTACATATATTTTTATTCGATCAAATTTGACTGGACCATAAAATTGCGCACGCAAACCGATTCCGCCGAAGTAAGAATATTCTTCTCATATACAAAATATTCCTCACAAGCACTTGATTCCGATCATTAAGTTTGTATGGCAGTTATATGCTATAGTGGTGCGAACTGAACAATTTCTTCGGAGATTGCACCATTGCCTCGAAAGAACTTCCGGTTGTTGGCCTCTTGACAGATCACAACTACTAGCATCACATGCGAGCCGGATGGGCATAAGTAACGACGATACATGCAGAAAGTGCATAGAAGCAGGGATGAGAGAGATGCTGGAACACCTCCTATGCCTTATATACCTTCTTCAGTGTATACAAGCCCTACATTGGTATAACCTTTCTTTATGTTCAAGGGAATTTTAATCCCCAGCTGTCAATGTTTGCGTACGACCTGAAAAGTTTGTCTGGTTTGATCAGATGTTGTATAATTTACATATCAAATGTTGGAAATGAGTTTAATCAACGGAAGACCCTTTAAAACCCTTCGACATTCATATAGTCTAAACTGAAGAATTCAGGTCTATTCGGAACATTATCATCTTATCGCAATTCTCATTTGGAACGTATAATGCGATATTTAATATAATAAGCAGTAAGACTGATTTTCTTAGTATTATATTTAAAATTTCTTATGAAATCTTTTACCTCAGAATCCTTTCTTACCACTATTTAGTGGTAAGACCTACTAAGGAATCATTTACTGTGGTTATTCCATATTTCTGTCTATGGACCACAACTTATGAACTTTCATTTTGATAACTTGAGAGAAAAATTGAAGAAAAAAATTGCTATACATGTGTATATATCTTATATAGAATATAATTATTATCTAGGGCGTCGCTACAATCTTTTCACTGTTCGTTCTGATTGGACTACTTACTATAGCATATAGCTGTCATTTAAACTGGTCGAACAAAGGCAAGACAAAGATCTTTTTACACCCCGCACCTATAAAGCGTATTTAAGCATGGATGCAGCCGAAACTTACGTTTTTTCGTGTTTTATATAAAATTTTAATTGTTGTCTGCTTTGCAGAGTGGATTCAGTAGCTATTTTGATATACTACTTCTTATAACCTTCTTCAAAAGAGTATTAGATTTTATTCAGTTCATCAACATGTTTAGTATAATGGCGAATGGGAGACCATGAACAGTTCGAATTCCAGTTATGTACTCACTAAGTTCACGCTATTCTTTACAGCATAGATTGCATGAACAGCTGTATCTTATCTGGGTGGGCTAGGTCGTGTCACCGCTTTCATTCTATTTATTCTAGATAAGTGCTGGTAGCCATTCGTTTCGCGATGAGCTACTCAAAAAGCTGAAAAAATAAACTAATATAATTATTAATTAATTCAACATTATAGTAATATGTAGGTATTTTGAGTAAGTTGAAACCTAGACCCAACTATGCGTCAAGTAGTTGATCTTTACATTATATGTATTATATATTCAAATCGGATTGTAATAGTTCCATCGTTAGCGCCATCTATCGCGTTGAATTGAGAACTTTGATCATAGAGTAACCGAATCAAGATTTACCTATCTTCTAAACGAACTGAGTTACAAACAGAAGAGTTAAATATTATCAGAAAATGTTTAAAAACAATTTAAAACAACAAATATTTGCCTAATTCGAAACAATGGTACCTGTTGTGAACATTTGCCGAGCACATTTCGTCGCCACCTTCGCGTTGTTCACGGCGTGCTTTGTTAGTTTTGCCACAAAATCGAAACATCAATTATCTAATGTCAACGCGTTGAGTTTTTAGTGTTTGCTCCCCACCACAGTGTAGGCGCTAAACGCCGCAACGTTTTTGGCTACATCCATCAAAAGAGTCATTAACACCACACCAACTTCGATTGTTACGACACATGCTTGTTTACATACGAGTATGCAAGTGTATGCTTGTGTTTGTGTGTATAGGCGTGTTATTGTTGCATGAGCATGAGCGGCAATGTTTGTTTTGTGGCGCATTGCTGTCGATCGGTTGATTGGTTTTCCAACTTCATTGCGTATGCGCAGCACACTTGCGAAGGCCGTAGAGCCCGATCGACGTGGTTACCTCGTTTATTTGTGGGGTGTATGGTAAATTGTTGCGTAGACTTGGCGGTTACTACGCGTTAACACCCTTTTTCTTTTTGTACAATTTATTTTCTCATTTTTTAATTGTTTAATTATTCGCCGTTTTATTGACATGCCAGTGTGTGTTCTGTGTCCGGGTATTTGGGACTCAACTCCATGCAGTGCGGTGTGTTCTGGGAACCCATATGACACGACGCGCGGCGGTGACAATCATACACTGTTCAAATGCGCGATGCTTATCATACTGCGAGGCATGCGGATGGACGCGCGATAACAACTAACGTTTTGAAAAGAATAATACTCACAGTAAAAAACAACAACAGAAAAAGTAATCAAGAAAAAAAAAACACAAGAAAAAACGTTAACTTCGGTTACACCAAGCTATAATACCCTTCACAAGTACAAAATATAATTTACAAGTATTTGATTTTGATCGGTCAGTTTGTATGGCAGCTATAAACTATAATGATCCGATCAGAACAAATTTTTTGGAGATTGCACCTTAGTCTTAGACAGTGATTTATGCTAAATTTCTTAAAGAGATCTCGTTAAATGAAAAAACTTTCCATATAATCACTTGATTCTGATCGTTCAGTTTGTATGTCAGCTATAGTGGTCCGATATCAGCGGTTACGACAAGTAAGCAGCTTCCTGGGAAGAGGAGGACGTGTACAAAATTTTAGATCGATATCTCAAAAACTGAAGTATTAGTTCACGGATATACAGACAAACCGACGGACAAACGAACTTGACTAAATCGACTCAGCTCGTCTTACTGATTATATATATATATATATACTTAATATATATCCTGTTGAGGGCATAAAAGAGACAATAAAGCGTAAAACAAATACTGAAAGGGCTATTTAAGAGAAAAGTTTTATTTTTTTGGTTGACATGTTTGTAGAATGCAAATATACATATTTACCTATAAACGAGTGTCTTTCTGTCTGTACGTTAGTCCGTCTGTTCTGTACCCTTGCTAAATATTGAGCGCAGAGTATTACGATTTTCTTGGCGGAATGCAGAAAACAAAACTTGCATGACTTTCGAGAAGACTGAGGCTCGGTAGGTTGACCCAACCTCCCCTAGGTACATATCGTAGTCTCATTCAAAAGTAGCCAAAGGATTTCACTATAAGTACCGCGTATATAAATTAATATTTTAGAGTCTCATCAGAATTGAAATATACAATTTCAGCGATTTGATAAAATCTTTCAAAATTTGAGGGCGGGTCCTTCCTCAATAAATACTAGAAAAGCGTTCATATGTTCATATGTAGTCTAGTCATTAATCGAGACCTTGAATTCCGTGGCGGCGTTTAGGTTATGTTTTCTGTGATGAAATCCCTAAGCGACTCTAACCTTTTACCCAAGAGGCCTTTTCATAGATTTTTAAGCCGCAAATAATCGCAGTGTAGTTATTGTGACCAACATACTGGATGTATTTTTTGATTTATAACTTAATTACTTTAAGTAATAATATCTTGTTATTATTTTTGTGTCACACATTATTCTTTGATATTGCGTTGTTTTAGACGAAAATCATTATTTGATCTAGCTGTCATATTCCACAGTTACTGTTTCACATTTTGCAAGGTAACCAATTATAATGACTTCGCAAGCATCCAAAAATTGATAAAAATTTCTATTTGGGGAGCAGACAAACCGCTGATCTTGTTGAAGCCCTTTTACGTGGAGCAATTTGGATCTGTGTTTTGAAATCGCATGTGTATGAGTATTTGTCGAAATTGACGTGTGACCGAAAATAATGGGAACGTGGCTTAGTAGGAACCTGTTCATTACGGCAGAGCCATACGCCGAAACTTATCTATATAAAGCTTTTTTATAAATAGCTCTTAAAAAAGTGATAAAGACATCTCCAAACTTCATATTAATACAACTGCGAAATCCGTGGACAAGCAGTACGATCAATCAGAGCGACGGAATCTTTAGATTCAAATAATCAGTAACCAAGCGACCAAACAGACGTTTCCATTATGACAATATTATATTATATAATTGGTCTTTAAATTTTCTACTTTTGATTAATCGACTTTTACTTTTCATTGATCAAGCTGTTATAAAAAGAATGAAAATGACCACTTCTTCAGTTATTTCAGCTTCTAAATTACTTTCTTTGCAAGTACGCTGAGAATGTGTAATTTCGTTTCGCCCGAACCCGGCGCTTACTTACTTATTTAATTCTTTATATTTGCCCATTTGTAAGTACGTCGTTCCCTTTCTGTCTTTTAAATTAATGTGTGCTCGGCTTTGCATACAAAAAATCTCAGCATGGCATTTCCAGCAACAAAATACCTTATGTCAACACTTGAACATCCGCGCGCTATACACGTTTCTCATCATCATCATTTTTGGTGTGTTCTTGGCGCTACGCACATTCCGTAACTTCTTAATTGGTCAATTGGTGTAGCAAAGCGGACGACTCGAAGTCAGCGCAAGTCCGTAAAGACGAGCAACCGCAATGGTGCCGCAAGTGCAACGCGCATCCGCCCGCTGCGAAACGAGTTGGAATGTCCGCTTTTTCGGAGTGTTGACACACGCTGCACACAACTTGCATTTTAATTTATTAACTCAATAAATAACAATATTTTATGATGAAAAACTCCAAGCAGGAGCTCCAGCAGTCAAAACATGTCAGCACATGTGTACGATTCATATCGCCAGCGTGGAGCGTTGTGTATGCACACAGCTGTAATAACAAGCTGTGAGTTGTGGACACTTGCGCCGCCATGTCCTCTGTCGTCCCCTTTTCGGCTACAAACCACATTTGACGTGTTTGATTTGCTGCGCCCACTTGGACTCGCCGCTCGACCGCGCAAACCTGCTCGTTTGCTGTTTTAGTTAATGTCTTTAGAGTCGGCGGAGTTTTTAATGGGTGCCTTGCATATTTGCATGCTTTCCAGCAGTGGGCCGCGGGTTCCAAGAAACGCTTCTTTGTCAAATGAGGCTATCAAAGTTCTTAGTATTTATGTAAGCGCTGAAAACGTGCTTGACAAGGCTGCTTGAAGGTGAACGAAAATAGTAGGGAATAAAAGAATATTTAATTATAAATTTCAGCATAAATAAATTATGGGTCATGATGCGGATAAACATATTAAATAGTTAGTATTGCGCACAGTAGGAACATTACATAAGCTTTATGAAGCGGTGAAACATGTGTGAATGACTTTTGGTAGACACTCCGCCTAAATAATATATTCATAATCGTGAGTCATAAAATTCTTTAGTTAAGTTCTCAAAATCAAGTAAAGTCAACGCAAGTTGAAAGAGTGTCTTCTTAATAGTGACTAATAAGATAATTTAGGTTAGTTCCTCAAGCCTCCAAGTTTGTTGCACTGCTGCTGCCTCTTACTCAGCTGCTGGTATTAGCGCTGCTACCAAAAAGAAGCAAGAAGCCAAAAATGAAGAATTGGAGTCAGAAGTAAGTATAATTGACATAGAGAAAGTTGAAAATATTGCAAGCAAATTGCAGAGAGGTTATGAAGGATCTTCACCCGAACTTGTTTTTCTTGGAATGGCATCTTAAATATAAAACTGTATCCTTATTTGAAAGAGCTCCAGCTCGACCTGTCTCGTATGTCGAGAGACCTCGCGAAACTGTATATTTTTCTTTGTAGTCATCATCCCGTAAGTTATGCTTAGCACATGGATCTCTAAAACATTGCTTTATCTCATTTTGATTCTCAAATGTGACTTTATTTATTAATATTTTTCGCAATAAATTTTAATTGAGGATTCCCTCGATATGCTAAGTAGTGGACATACTATATCATCTACTCTCCGAAAGTTTCACACTCTAAACTATAATACTTGATTTCTAAAGAAATCCCAATCATGTCTAATAAGATATACTTAAATTTTCATTAATTCGATGAAGAAAGTTTCTGTGCTTTCGTGACGATAGAATGACGGACATCGACAGAGGTCGCGGAGTATTCCAACTATTAAGTTTTATATCATTAGTAAATGGGAAAAATTTACACTGACCGCTTATTGAGCTTGTTCCTTTGCACAAGCCTAAAGGATTCCTTCGAATGAAGCAGATATACATGGCGTCATGCTGTTGTACTCTCCGACCGAACAGAACTCAAAGCATACATATGAGTTGATCATATCAGCGCAACAATACCCATAGAGGGTAATAACAAACCGGTAGCTGTAGTTGAATCACGGTTCCAGAATTTTCAATGTTAAGAAGAATAAGAGAATCATTTAAACTTTACTTCGGTATAATAAAAAAATACTAGTAATATAATACTTAGACCTGTGTAAGGCGCTTGTCTGAATTTCTCCTCAAATATATTTTATGAGTTTTCAATGAGTTCTCGAATAATCATGAAGTCGTTGCAGGTTGATGGTCACTAGAACTCCTGATTTATTACTTATAACCCCAACTTTTTTAAGTGAACAGCGGCATTCTCTGAAATTAATATCGTTTTGACAACACTGCTTTTTATGACTTCACCTCTACAAATGACTGGGATACTTTTATTACAAATTTGTAGAATTGTAACTATAATCTTTACTTATATTGTGGGTGTAGAATTAAAACTTGTTGCTAAGAGAATAAAGTGTTGATACATACATAAGACGCGCGACATTGAGTGTTTGGTACTTTTGAAGTCCCGTCGACATTGTTTAAATAAATGTCTAATTTCAATTGCCTCAAAGTGTGATTAATTATAATATAGAGCTTAACGCGAATTTGCAACTTGAACAGTTTATTTCATCATTCTCGAGTTAGTCAAGTATTTGTTCTATAAAGAATACTCCAAATCGATAGCTAATTCATCAGCTTGACACTTGAGACGAAACCTTCCGAGTACTGACTATTACTCATAGTATAATATAAAAGTACACACACTTAGCTTTCACGTTATTATAATACATATATCAAATAGGGATTTAGATATAGCGGAAACTAAATTAATCGGCAGACTGTTAAATCAATTCAAAATATTCCATAGCAAAAAGATTATTTAATATATACGTCAGCGGAGATTTTTTTAAACTGGTCTGGAGCTTTAAGTGTAATTGATTTATGAGTGCCGTATACATTGTTTAATAACTTCGGGTAACTTGAAAAAAATATATATGTATATGAGTCTATATTATTTTTTTTATGTGAATGTCTCTTCCAAGTTTTAGAAATCTGAAATATTTTCAGAAAGGAATACGAAAATTTGTAGATTGTAATTGATAGAGATACAAGAATGAATCTAAGCTCTACAAATAGTAATGCGCACCTCTAACCTGTACACCATGACAACTTTAAGACTTAGGCCACAGAAATGCAGCTTAGGTTTGTATACGATATAAAGAATTATCTCAAAGGGTCCCACAATTCTAATTTCAAAATATTTTCCGAAAAGACAACGTAAAATTTTAAATTTTGGATTCATAGACTTTGCTGTATATTAAATGTTTAATATATATAATTTTTTCTGATTCTTGCAAAATACAATTAGATTTGAATTTTTACAATTTCGTCGAATAATGAATGTTGATTTCATTCGTTTTTAATATAAACAAGAAAAAATGTTCACTTCGATTGCACCGTAGCTATAATACAAAATGTTCCTTACAAGAACTTGTTTTCGATCGATTAGTTTGTATGACAGCTATATGCTGTAGTGATCCGATCTGAAAAATTTATTAGGAATTTTCATTATTGCCTTAGATAATAATCCGATCCAAATTTCGTGAAGATATATATATATAAACTATAAGTAGTTCGCGCATATACAGACAGACAGACGGACATAACTAAATCCACTCAGCTCGTCATGCTGATCATTTATGTATATATTTTATAGGGTCTTCTTTTTGGGTGTTACAAACTTTGTGACAAACTTAATATACCCTCCTCAGGGTATAAATATTGCCAACACCTGAAGGTATATCCCTTCAATGAGAAATATCCGTCAATGAGAATTTAGCGGTCACAATTGCAGGGGTAAATGCCGATATAGATTTGTCTTCCTCATCGTTAGAGAAAGCAACAAAAATGGGATATATTAAAAAAAAATGTATCAATTAATAGAACTGCAGACTAAAAATGCTAGCAGCTTGAGACGATTCCCTTGGGCCATTGAGTGGATTACTGAGGTTTCTTAGTATTTTCATTTTAGTTGTTTCGTTTCGTTTCTTTCTTCTTCTAATAAAACAAAAGCTAAAATTGCGGAACTCATTGTAAACTTTATTAGAATTGCTTCCAAATTTATTCATTCACAAGATTTGTTACATTAGTAAACAGCTGATTCGAATATTGGTTTTATGTATGTTCGAAAAGACGAAAATCTGATCCGAGCTGCATACATAATAAGTTTTTTCTGCTTGTGGTATAAAAAAGTATTACATTTTCGATTTAAGATCCTAATTCAAAGTTGCAATGCAGAGCAAAGTACTATCGCAAAATATTGTAAGCAAAATACTTCAGAATAGGTAATATAGATATAATCAACAAATCAAGGCAATCGAACAAGACAAGAAAATTCCCGATAACACAGGACAGACACCGCACAACAATCAAGTGCCACAAATCAAGCTGAAAAAAACAAATCGATTACTTCATGTTTTCTTAGCGTTTATCAAAAACGAATTATCTATTTGAAAATGTTTGTTTACAAGTAATTCTCATTTGTTGGTTACAAAAAATTATAAAGTAAAATAAAGCCTTTCGTTATCACAAAAATCTTACTTAGTAACTAGGAAATTAAATTTAAAAATAATATCAATAATAATAATACAAAAATTAAGCATACAAATTCTCTAAACTTGGCTGAGCACCACTTGAGATTTTTTTACAAAACTTAAACACTATATTGGAAGCGCGTTGATTAAATAACTATATGTAGTGAATACGAGTTAATTAAAGTACTTCAGCCGCTACAAACGAGTATCACAAATATCTAAAGCTCGGGTCACAGTAATTCCACGCAAACACCACAGTTGTTAAGCGTCTATAAGAGAGACACTTCAGCTCAAGCTTGTGCCCAACGATCACCGTTATGTTGGGGATACTGCATATGCGGATATTGTTCATTGCTGTAGCAATAGCTGGGCTGCAGCAGGTCCTCATCGGCGGCTACAGGTGTGAAACTGCTCAACACCGGCTGCAGATTGGTGGTCCAGAAAAAGGTGCCCGCTTCGGTGCGTGCAAAACGTACGGGCACATAGATGTCATGCTCCGCTTGTGCATCCATCTCTTCTTGTACGAGTTCGGCTAGCTTCTCATTGGCTGAATTGTCTTCGATCTCTTCGTAGTAAGGTTGTTCTTCCATTTGCGCATTGCGCAGATTCTCTAGAGATTCCAAAGATTCCAATGAGTTCCATACCCGTTGTTGTGGCTGATATGGATATTGCTGCTGTTGTTGTTGTGTTTGCAAGCGCTGTCGTTGGTGGCAGTGGCGGTATTGAAATTTCTGTTGCTTTTGTTGTTGTTTGTTGCGGAAGAGTGTCTGCAAGACACGCTTAATGCTATAGCTCGACTTGTTGTTGTCTTGCATTTCGACATTTGCTTTGTTGTTGGCCTTATTTTGAGCCGCTGCTAATTGTTGCTGTTGTTGGCACATTTTCGTAAAATGTTCTTCAAATTCTATGCGCCGTTCGATACTTTTCTAATTGCTTAATGCGTGTGGCACGTTGAACGTACGAATTCAGAATGATTTTTACACGCCACACAACGATCTTTTATAGCACCGCGTCGGCGCTCACCAAGTGGCAACCGCAACAACAATAACCCACATGCAATGAATTTGTACTTCTGTACATTTCCTTCAGGAAAGGGAGTAGTACAGTCAAAGAAACAAAAACAATAACCGAAGAGCGGGAGAAATACGAGAACACGTGCACCAACCCATGCGCTCGCTGCTCAGTCGAGCGCTAGTGTTGAGCATGCGTGCCTGTACATTACGGATATGCACTTCGCTTGAGCTTGGCGCACAAACGCTCCAGCGACCAACGCTTGGTACTAACAAAAACAACGCAACTTGCAACAGAAACAGTGAATTGTACACAATGCGCAGCTATCTACCCTCCTTGGAGAGCGTTGTGTGCTCGATGACTCAGTCGAGCTCGAGCTCGAGCAGTACAAATGCGTACTTTGTAAAGGAAATGTCAAGTAAGAGGGTCACTGCACAGCAACAGCAATAACAACTCGAATTCCGATAAGAATTGTCGAGGCGGCTCAGCAAGTTGCGCAGGTCGTCGAAGAGCTAAGAGAGCAAAAAGGCATAAGTGGCACAGTGGCGCATGACACGGCATTAGAAGTTTTGATTCTATGAACGGTGAGGTCGGTGTCAGTATCAACTGTAAAGAATTACCGGTCACTGGAATTAACATACTCATGCTCAAGTGGTCTGATTTCTCAAGAAAACTGTGGTGTAAGGTTTCTCAATTTTTCTTAAGAGTCGCTCTGCCGAAAGTACTAAAATCCGAACACAAAATGTAATAATAAATTAACATTTACAGCTTCAGTTAATAAATCGTCAATTTATTAATGTTTCAGACTTTGTCTTCTTACTATCTCTTGCAGACTTAATATTTTAGATTTCTTCGCAAGCAATTTGCAAACTCACAACACTTCTGTTCTCTCCATGACATAGTCGAGTTCCAAAAAAAATCCTCATCTCCCTGGCAAGAACTTATTTGGCTGAGTAAAATAATGCTTTATCGTTGCGATATAACCTCACAGATCTTAGAAGCAATCAAGAACGTTGCCTTATAATCTTACAGATCTTCACTAGAAACAATGAAGACGCATGTACCATCCGCAGTTTTTGGATTGCTTATTGCAAATTCGTAGTCATCAATGATGCTTTCTACTTAAAGGCGATTCTAAACATCTTCAACTATGTCAAAAAGTGTAAGATTTTATAAAGAAAGACTTTGTCCCGAAGCTTTTCATATTACTTGATCTGTGCGAAACGTTCATTCTACAAGCTCCTCTCGTAGAGAAAACGATATGGTTATCCTATTGTGTTGGTAGAATGCATCGAAAGCCAGAGTCAAGAAGTGTTTGAAGGAAGCCGCGCGAGAAACTTAAAGTATCTATGACATCTATAGTATCTTTCGATATATGGTAGTTGGTTTTGTAGTGATAAAACGTTAAACCCTTTATAATATGGTTTCTTCTAGAAAATATAGTCATCAGAATCTAGTTGGGAGAAACTCGATTTCTTTTTGAAAAATGTATGTTTGTGAAATATATTTTTATTGTCGGGATCTAATTGAAATGTCTTTATTAACGTATGGATGTTGAAAAAGATGGCAGTGGAACCAGAAGATTTTAATAAAAATACATACATATGTATTCATTTATTTATGGTTTTTCATAGAATCAATATTAACTATTTTCCTGCCTGAGGTCCTTTCGTCTTGGATATTATTTCTGCTTAATAGTCTCTATAGTATCGGCTTGTGAGCTTGGCTGCTACACTGCGGGTTAAAATCTGAGCTACCGCCACTAAATATGCAATATCAAACCTTCTGCTAGGCAATATTATTGATGTAAGAAGATTCGTTGTAGAGGCTAAGCACGCATGTAGAAACGAGTTAGAGCATGTTTGAATGGGGCATCTATTTCTAGTATTTTCAATATTTAAGCTATAAAATGGGTCATAATTTTTTCGACCTAGCTCCAATAGTAGAAGTATCATATGATAAGCTTTAGTATTATATTTTCTCGAGCATATTCCTGCCACATATTTGTCGAGCGCACACACTGTGCGTACACAGGATCGCCCTTGCACTGTCCGCAAAGTCAGTGTACTCCGCCATTATACTACACAGTTGATGGTGGTGGTGGTGGTTTTTGTGGCTGGTGTCAAGTGATAGCTGTTGACTGTGTTGTTGTTGTTTTTACTCGTATTGCCAGTGACGGACCATATCGATAACTGTGTGCTGTGTGGTGTTTTTGTAGTTCTTGGTGTCGTTTTTTTTGCTATGCTGCTCTCTTGACAATTGTTAAACATGTATTGGCATGCCAATAAGGGTCGCTGGGTGAATGCAACAATTTTGGATGTTTGTTGGTGTGCGTGTGTGTGTGTTTGTGTGTGCACTCCCTAAGTGCAAATCAAACTGGAATTTGAACCCCTTTTTGTGGAGTGTGGGAAAATGTTTCGAAATTTAGTACAAAATTCCGTAATGGACAAAGCAACAACACAACAAAAACAAACGTGATATGTCAAAAGAAATAGGAAAGGGTCCACACCAAACTCAAGGAGCTCAGTTCGCCAGTTGGTGAGCGTAGTGGCCACTTAGGAGCGCATTTGTATCAGTATGTGTAGGCTGTGTGCTAGTGTGTATGGCTACGCAAGTGTAAGGGCATGCGTGTGTATGTGTGTGTGGATACTTACAAATGTGTGCTGTGATCGTGCAGGGGTTTTATATGCGCCTGGCTTGGGTCTATAAGCAAAAAATGGCAGGTGTTCGACGTGAAATTTTCTCATGGCAGTCTCAAGCGATAAGAAATGCTGAACACATTCACACACATACACATGTGCATACGCACCGAAGCAAACATGCTTATAGTGTTATACTTTATATTATATACATACATACATATATTTTTTGCTTTCATTTTTTTTTGTATTTTGGACAAATTTCGCTTTGTGTGTTGTTGTCTTTAAGGTGTTGTTGTTATTGTTTATTGTTTTGTGTTTTATTACCTCGAAACATACAGTAAAAGTGTGTAGCAAGGGTGCGGGGGCCATATGTATCGGCTTGCAGGATTTGCGTGCACACGCACACATACACAGCCATAGAGTTGTGGATATTTACTGCGATGCATTTCAATTTCATTTCCGTGGGAAAGCGCATACGCTGGGCATTCCCACGCAGTTAAGGTGTTTTTGTTATCCTGCTGCTGCTATCATACTGTTGTTGTTGTTATTTTAAAGTTATTGTTGTTATTATGATTGCAGTTCCTTTTTCCTTGCTTCTTTATGCTGTTTCCCCTAATTTATAGCAGTTCTATGTGTGCGTTTATGCGCCTGTGTCACTCCATATCTTTAGGAGGCTCGTTTTATTTTGACAAAGGATGCGTATGCGGCACAAATGGTTGGAGCGCAGCGTAAGCAAATTATCCTTTAAGAGGTTTCAGTTAATAGCAAAATGAGTGGCTGTGTGTTGTATGATAGCAGGCTGGCTGGCTGGCTGGCTGGCAACACTGCATAAAGCGTGCACAACGGACGGTGTGTTGAGTCCTTACAATTACTTGGCGTAATTTACTTATGATGAGGGTTTAGTGCTGGGCTCAGTTTTTTATTTGTTTATTTTTTTCTTATTTCTTTTTGTTGTTGTTGTTTGTCTTTTTCGGTTAGGTGTTTTTGATAATTTTCCCAGGCTTTGCAGGACTGCAAGCTGCGCTGAGCAGCCGCGGTATGGCAGACAGGTTGTTTCATTGTTTTGCTGTTGGCTGTTATGCGTATGTGTTGGTTTTGTTATTGTCGTGTCGTTCCTTGTACGCCTGCCTGGCTTAACGCTGGTCTAAAATGCATTGCGCATAACTCAATACTGTCGAGCTGTTTACTTGACTGCTACTGTTATTACTAAGCAGCTAAAAGGCAATCGAAAATAAAAATAATAAAAAATATACAAAAACAAGAAGAAGTGCACTAAAGTGTTTTGTAGACCTCACTTATAATATTGTTATACCCTGAACAGGGTATATTACATAAGTTTGCCACTATGTTTGTAACACCTATAAAATATATACATAAATGATCAGCATGATCAGCTTATTTGATTTAGCCATGTCCGTCTGTCTGTATATATAAAAACTAGTCCCTCAGTTTTTGAGCTATCGCTTTGAAATTTTGCACCTGTCCTTTTCTCACTAAGAAGCTACTCGTTTGTCGGAATGGCCCATATCGGATCACTATAGCATATAGCTGCCATACAAACTGAACAATCGGAATCAAGTGCTTGTATGGGAAACTCTTTCATTTGACGAGGTATTTTCACGAAATTTGGCATGGTTTATTATTTAAGGCAGATCAGACCACTATATCACATAGCCTTCAAACAAATTGAACGATCAGAATCAAGTTCTTGTAAGGAACCTTTATATTTGTGAAGGGTATTATATCTTCGGTGCAACCGAAGTTAACGTTTCTGCTTGATTTTGTCTGTCTTGTTCATCTTTCTCATTAATTTGTACAGTTTTTTATTATACTTATTGAGTAGTTATGTTCTTTTATCAATGAAACATTACTTTAACACATATTTATACACCTGTGCTTGTGCTTTGCAATGTTGCCAATGTGGTAGCGTTAATTTTTGTTTCGCTTGCTGTGACTTGTTGCGGTTGTAACTGTGGCTATGCACGTGCGCAGAGCGTGTAGACGGCTTGCGCGCTAGTGTAGACAACCAACAAGTTTGTCTGGCTACTGTTTTTCGGTTTGTGTGTGCCACCAATTAGTCGTCCTCTCCTCTTTATTGATTTCTGTTAATTCTTGGAGCGGCCCGGTCATTGAAATATATAGTTGTTGATATAAATTGCACATAATTTGTATAGATGTGTTGTAAAGAAGTCCTAATAAATTATACAGTTTTGCTTTACATTGGCAATTTAGCTCACAAAGGGTGTAAATGTTTAGTTAGTTGAGCTTAAAGTGGTTTAATAAGGGCGAAAATTGCACTTGTATGGCTAAAAA